GTACAACCAAATGTAATCACGCTTTTCTTGAACACATCACCAAATATTTGCATATTTAATCATACCATCCTTTAAAAAAATATTTTTTTGATACTTATTATTTTTTAAAACATATTACGTTCTAATTATGTAATAACCTCAAAAATAATAGTTGGTTTTATTATTTTTGTGGAAAATCTTATTAAATTGTGTGATTTTATTGGGGTGTTTTATGAATTTGGTTTGATGTGAAAATATTGGAATTAAGTGAGTTTAATCTCAAACTTGGACTAAAATGCCCTTATGATTAAGTTTGTGATTTTTTTTTAATGAAGTAGGCCCGTTTAGGCCCAGCTCGTTGGCCTTAACCTGGCTCGGCCCGATGGTCTTTCTCAAGCCCAGACCATGGGTCGGTCCTAGGCTTTGAATTTTATAAAAAAACCCGGCCCAGTATTTTCTCTCTCCTCTTTAAAGGCCAGTCCGGCCCGGCCCGGCCCATTAACGAACCCTAAGATTTATATGACATAAATGGAAGTGTTGTTCGGATACGCTTAATTAACACTCTATGGTTTGCAAAAACTGGGCAAAGATGGGGAAGTTTGTGGAAGTCAAAAAAGTACAAAAACCTTTCTTGGTTGAACACCCAACCGATCCAGCAAACATTTTTGGATGACTATTTGGGAAGCTGAAGTTTATTCGTTGATTACTCTTTTTCTCCATTGCCGATATAGAAATCTAGTCAGGCCTTGTAGGTATCGCTTTGCTTCTCTCACTCTTTTTACCTCTTTAATTCTTATCTTTATTTGGCGTGGTTATGTGATGAATTACAAACTGAATGATAGGTCTCAAACTATGGATTACTGAAATTTTTTATGTAAACATTCATATGACATAAATGGAAGTGTTGTTTGGATATGCTTAATTAACACTCTATGGTTTGCAAAAATTGGGCAAAGATGGGGAAGTTTGTGGAAGTCAAAAAAGTACAAAAACCTTTCTTGGTTGAACACCCAACCGATCCAGCAAACATTTTTGGATGACTATTTGGGAAGCCGAAGTTTATTCGTTGATTACTCTTTTTCTCCATTGCCGATATAGAAATCTAGTCAGGCCTTGTAGGTATCGCTTTGCTTCTCTCACTCTTTTTACCTCTTTAATTCTTATCTTTATTTGGCATGGTTATGTGAAGAATTACAAATTGAAGGATAGATCTCAAACTATGGGTTACTGAAATTTCTTAATGTAAACATTCATTAGGCCTCATCATTTGGCCCGAGGGCTCGTGGGCCAATGAGGGCCCTTCCTGTCCATCGTAAAAAAGCCCGGCTTGGCCCATTATGGGCTTTGAGATGGCCCAGCCCGCCTTGGGCTGGGCTAGGCTTGGGCTTAGGTGTTTATAGCCTAACCCGCCCATAGGCCTAACCCGATTAATCCCAAGAAAGCCCGGCCCGGCCCGCCCACAAAAGCCCGGCCCATTAGGTCCACATACATATATAATTATGTATAAGTAAGAGTTTGGGTTTAGGATTATATCACTTAAATCACATATATAATTTGTTTCATTTCATTTACCCTTCTTTACTCATTCCTAGTTTATGATTGGATGATTAGCATATTAATTTGTGTCAATTATTAATTCAACAATTATATATATATATATATATATATATAAATAAGATGATCAACATATCACATAACCAAATATAATCATATCGCGAAACATAATCGTACAACCAAATGTAATCACGCTTTTCTTGAACACATCACCAAATATTTGCATATTTAATCATACCATCCTTTAAAAAAAATATTTTTTTGATACTTATTATTTTTTAAAACATATTACGTTCTAATTATGTAATAACCTCAAAAATAATAGTTGGTTTTATTATTTTTGTGGAAAATCTTATTAAATTGTGTGATTTTATTGGGTGTTTTATGAATTTGGTTTGATGTGAAAATATTGGAATTAAGTGAGTTTAATCTCAAACTTGGACTAAAATGCCCTTATGATTAAGTTTGTGATTTTTTTTTAATGAAGTAGGCCCGTTTAGGCCCAGCTCGTTGGCCTTAACCTGGCTCGGCCCGATGGTCTTTCTCAAGCCCAGACCATGGGTCGGTCCTAGGCTTTGAATTTTATAAAAAAACCCGGCCCAGTATTTTCTCTCTCCTCTTTAAAGGCCAGTCCGGCCCGGCCCGGCCCATTAACGAACCCTAAGATTTATATGACATAAATGGAAGTGTTGTTCGGATACGCTTAATTAACACTCTATGGTTTGCAAAAACTGGGCAAAGATGGGGAAGTTTGTGGAAGTCAAAAAAGTACAAAAACCTTTCTTGGTTGAACACCCAACCGATCCAGCAAACATTTTTGGATGACTATTTGGGAAGCTGAAGTTTATTCGTTGATTACTCTTTTTCTCCATTGCCGATATAGAAATCTAGTCAGGCCTTGTAGGTATCGCTTTGCTTCTCTCACTCTTTTTACCTCTTTAATTCTTATCTTTATTTGGCGTGGTTATGTGATGAATTACAAACTGAATGATAGGTCTCAAACTATGGATTACTGAAATTTTTTATGTAAACATTCATATGACATAAATGGAAGTGTTGTTTGGATATGCTTAATTAACACTCTATGGTTTGCAAAAATTGGGCAAAGATGGGGAAGTTTGTGGAAGTCAAAAAAGTACAAAAACCTTTCTTGGTTGAACACCCAACCGATCCAGCAAACATTTTTGGATGACTATTTGGGAAGCCGAAGTTTATTCGTTGATTACTCTTTTTCTCCATTGCCGATATAGAAATCTAGTCAGGCCTTGTAGGTATCGCTTTGCTTCTCTCACTCTTTTTACCTCTTTAATTCTTATCTTTATTTGGCATGGTTATGTGAAGAATTACAAATTGAAGGATAGATCTCAAACTATGGGTTACTGAAATTTCTTAATGTAAACATTCATTAGGCCTCATCATTTGGCCCGAGGGCTCGTGGGCCAATGAGGGCCCTTCCTGTCCATCGTAAAAAAGCCCGGCTTGGCCCATTATGGGCTTTGAGATGGCCCAGCCCGCCTTGGCTGGGGTAGGCTTGGGCTTAGGTGTTTATAGCCTAACCCCGATTAATCCCAAGAAAGCCCGGCCCGGCCCACCCACAAAAGCCCGGCCCATTAGGTCCACGTACATATATAATTATGTATAAGTAAGAGTTTGGGTTTAGGATTATATCACTTAAATCACATATATAATTTGTTTCATTTCATTTACCCTTCTTTACTCATTCCTAGTTTATGATTGGATGATTAGCATATTAATTTGTGTCAATTATTAATTCAACAATTATATATATATATATATATATAAATAAGATGATCAACATATCACATAACCAAATATAATCATATCGCGAAACATAATCGTACAACCAAATGTAATCATGCTTTTCTTGAACACATCACCAAATATTTGCATATTTAATCATACCATCCTTTAAAAAAAATATTTTTTTGATACTTATTATTTTTTAAAACATATTACGTTCTAATTATGTAATAACCTCAAAAATAATAGTTGGTTTTATTATTTTTGTGGAAAATCTTATTAAATTGTGTGATTTTATTGGGTGTTTTATGAATTTGGTTTGATGTGAAAATATTGGAATTAAGTGAGTTTAATCTCAAACTTGGACTAAAATGCCCTTATGATTAAGTTTGTGATTTTTTTTTTAATGAAGTAGGCCCGTTTAGGCCCAGCTCGTTGGCCTTAACCTGGCCCGGCCCGATGCTCTTTCTCAAGCCCAGACCATGGGTCGGTCCTAGGCTTTGAATTTTATAAAAAAAACCCGGCCCAATATTTTCTCTCTCCTTTTTAAAGGCCAGTCCGGCCCGACCCGGCCCATTAACGAACCCTAAGATTTATATGACATAAATGGAAGTGTTGTTCGGATACGCTTAATTAACACTCTATGGTTTGCAAAAACTGGTCAAAGATGGGGAAGTTTGTGGAAGTCAAAAAAGTACAAAAACATTTCTCGATTGAACACCCAACCGATCCAGCAAACATTTTTGGATGACTATTTGGGAAGTTGAAGTTTATTCGTTGATTACTCTTTTTCTCCATTACCAATATAGAAATCTGGTCAGGTCTTGTAGGTATAGCTTTGCTTTTCTCACTCTTTTTACCTATTTAATTATTATCTTTATTTGGCGTGGTTATGTGATGAATTACAAACTGAATGATAGGTCTCAAACTATGGATTACTGAAATTTCTTTATGTAAACATTCATATTACATAAATGGAAGTGTTGTTTGGATACGCTTAATTAACACTTTATGGTTTGCACAACTAGGCAAAGATGGGGAAGTTTGTCGAAGTAAAAAAGGTACAAAAACCTTTCTCGGTTGAACACCCAACTGATCCAGCAGACATTTTTGGATGACTATTTGGGAAGTTGAAGTTTATTTGTTAATTACTCTTTTTCTCCATTGCCGAAATAGAAATCTAGTTAAGTCTTTTAGGTATAGCTTTGCTTTTCTCACTCTTTTTACCTATTTAATTCTTATCTTTATTTGGCGTGGTTATGTGATGAATTACAAACTGAATGATAGGTCTCAAACTATGGATTACTGAAATTTCTTTATGTAAACATTCATATTACATAAATGGAAGTATTGTTTGGATACGCTTAATTAACACTTTATGGTTTGCACAAACTAGGCAAAGATGGGGAAGTTTGTCGAAGTAAAAAAGGTACAAAAACCTTTCTCGGTTGAACACCCAACTGATCCAGCAAACATTTTTAGATGACTATTTGGGAACTTGAAGTTTATTCGTTAATTACTCTTTTTCTCCATTGCCGAAATAGAAATCTAGTCAAGTCTTTTAGGTATAGCTTTGCTTCTCTCACTCTTTTCCTGAGCAATCTTTAAGGAGGAGACACAGGGAGCAAAATTTGCTGCGGGTTCCTTCACTGCAAGGAACTTTTCTGCAGTCTTTATATTCTGAGGACCTGCACAGTACAGAAACAATGGCTTTTGTTATTCCAGAGGCTGGTGATCCTTTGGGTAATTCTTTAACAGCTCATGCCACTAACATACCAGGTTGCATTACATATCCAGCAGTGGAAGAAGGGTCTACATTCGAAATCAAGCATCACATGTTGAGTATTTTACCTACATTTCATGGGTTATCAACCGATGATCCTAACATGCACATTGCAGAATTTTTAATGGGATGCAAGAATATTTTGGTGAAAGGATTCTCAGCTGAATCTATTAAGCTTCGTCTATTTCCTTACACATTGAAAGATCAAGCAAGGAGATGGCTCCTCACACTTCCATCTGGAAGCATTAGCACTTGGAACCAACTCAGTGAAAAATTCTTAAACAAATATTATCCAGCTTCAAAGACTCTCGACATGAGAACTCAAATTTTATCTTTTGCCCAAAAACCAAATGAAGAGTTTCATGAGGCGTGGGAACGGTTTAAAGAGTTGAATAGAAAATGTCCACATTCTAGTATTAGCAGTACGGATCAAGTGCATATATTTTTCAGAGGGTTAAATATGACAACAAAAACTCTTGTCAACGCTTCATGCGGAGGATCATACAAGGATAAAAATGCACAAGAGGCTTGTTTATTATTTGAAAAAATGGCAGCAGATACACAGCAATGGGCAGTTGAGCAGCCACAATCAAGGTCTGTTTTTGAGATATCTAATGGTTCTCCATATATGTCGGCACAAATTGAAAAAATGGAGAAAAAGCTTGAAAGATTTGATGCAAAATTTGACATGTTATTACAAAGAATTCCAGGTTCACAGGTTGCTGTACAGCAACCTTTACCAGCTGCCTGTAGCATTTGCAATGTGACAACCCATGATTTTTTGAGCTGTCCGCATAAAGATGCTTATCCGGAATTTGCAGCGGAACAAGTTAATGCATTTAATAATTTTCAGCGTCCACGATATGACCCGTATTCAAATGTTTACAACCCGGGTTGGAGAGATCATCCCAATTTTAAGTGGGACAGAGATCAGCCTGCAAGGCCACAATTTCAACAACAGGTACAGCAAACTGCTGCGCCTAAGGCTGCTTGGGAGGTTGCAATTGAAAAATTAGCAAATGCCACCAGTCAAGAATTCCAAAATCTGCAGGCAACAGTGAAAAACATAGAAAAACAAATGGGGCAGATTGCATTCCAAGTTTCAGAAAGAGCACCAGGTACATTTCCTAGCCAAACGGAACATAATCCAAGGGGAGGCGCAGATTGTAAGGCAGTTCGAGTTCTACGTTCGGGTAAAAGTTATGACAATAGAGTGTGGAAATTCGCAGGCAGCATCACAGCCACAAACAGATTCAGGAAATTTTGCAGAATCTGATATTGTTACAGATTCTACAGAGTCTATGGGCAGATCTGAAAACAGTGCAAAAATTGCTGCAGAAACTGCAGAACGTGTTTATGTGCCTCCAATGCCTTATCCCGAAAGGTTGAAGCCCAAAGTTAAAGATCAACAGTTGACAGATTTTATGAAGACGTTGGCCAAAGTTCAGATCAATCTCCCATTGATTGATGCAATTAAGAACATTCCATCTTATGCCAAGTTTTTAAAGGATGTTTGCACAAAGAAAAAGAAGCTCGTGGATTTTGAAAAAGTTATTCTTACAGAACAGTGCAGCGCAGTTTTATTACACAAACTGCCTCCAAAGAAACAAGACCCAGGGAGTTTTACAATTTCATGCACAATTGGAAATTCTAATTTTAAACGTGCTTTAATTGATTTGGGTGCCAGTATTAATTTAATGCCTTTTTCTGTTTTTCAGAGACTAGGACAAGGAGAAATCAAGCCTACATCAGTTATTCTACAACTGGCGGACCGTTCAGTTGCTTACCCTAGGGGAATTATTGAAGACCTCATTATTAAAGTGGATAATCTCTACCTTCCTGCAGATTTTGTGGTCTTGGATATGGATGAAGATATGCAAACACCGATTATTTTGGGGCGTCCATTCATGGCTACTGCTCGAACCTTAATTGATGTTGAGGCTGGAACACTTACACTTAGAGTGCAAGATCAGTCCGTTGTTTTCAGTTTATTCGAAATAACCAAAAGGCCAACTGATGTGCAAGATTGTATGCGTGTTGACATGTTAGACAGCTTAATGCATGCTGAAATTATGCCCCGTTTGACATCAGATCCATTGTTAAAGGTGTTGCATGGGTTGGAGAATAGAAACACTGAAGATGAAGAGGTTTTTGAGTATGTTTCAGCTTTGGAAAGTGTTCCTTTTCTACACCCCCGTTGGAGGCACGTTTTTGAGAGTTTAGGGGAACCGAAAAAACCATTGCAGCCCTCTAAAGTACAGCCACCTAAACTGGACTTAAAAGTACTGCCAGGACACTTGAAATACGCTTATCTGGGTGCAAATTCTTCGCTGCCAGTTATTATAGCTGCTGACTTATCATCAACAGAAGAAGAAAAATTGCTGCGTATTTTAAGAAATTATCAAGATGCAATCGGTTGGACTATAGCAGACATTAAAGGGATCAGCCCTACAATTTGCATGCACCGAATTCTGATGGAAGATGGAGTAAAGCCCACCATTGATGCTCAACGTCGTTTGAATCCAATTATGAAAGAAGTTGTTCGTACTGAGGTTATGAAGCTTCTAGATGCTGGGATGATCTATCCCATTTCAGATAGTAAGTGGGTTAGTGCAACTCAAGTGGTGCCCAAGCGTTCTGGAATTACAGTTGTGAAGAATGACAATAATGAACTTGTGCCTACACGTTTGACTACTGGGTGGCGTATGTGTGTTGATTACAGAAAGATCAATACGGGCACTAGAAAGGATCATTTTCCATTGCCTTTCACTGATCAAATGTTGGAAAGGTTGGCTGGTCGTGCGTTCTATTGTTTCTTGGATGGATATTCAGGGTACAACCAGATTCCAGTTGCACCTGAAGATCAAGAGAAGACAACCTTTACATGTCCTTTTGGGACTTTTGCATATCGAAGAATGCCCTTTGGTTTGTGCAATGCTCCTGCAACGTTTCAACGATGCATGATGAGCATATTTTCCGGATTGGTTGAACAGGTAGTTGAAGTGTTTATGGATGACTTTTCTGTTTTTGGGGATTCTTTTGATGAATGTTTGAACAATTTATCCTTAGTTCTTGACAGATGCATTAAGACAAACCTTGTTTTAAATTGGGAAAAGTGTCATTTCATGGTTAAGCAGGGGATTGTCCTAGGCCACTTGATTTCTAACAGGGGTATTGAGGTTGATAAGGCCAAAATTGATGTAATTGCAAAGCTGCCACCACCGACAGCTGTTAAAAGTGTTCGATCTTTTCTTGGTCATGCTGGGTTTTACAGACGGTTTATCAAGGATTTCTCCAAGATTAGCCGACCATTGTGTAATTTGTTGGCTAAGGATGCTCCTTTTGTCTTTGATGATGCTTGTTTGGAGGCTTTCAACAAGTTAAAGACACTCCTCACTACAGCACCCATTATTGCAGCACCTAATTGGAGTTTACCTTTCGAATTGATGTGTGATGCTTCAGATTACGCAGTAGGAGCGGTTCTTGGACAGCGGAAAGATAAGCTTCCCCAAGTCATTCATTATGCTAGTCGAACTCTCAATGACGCACAGCTAAACTATGCGACCACAGAGAAGGAATTGTTGGCAGTTGTTTTTGCATTAGAAAAATTTCGGTCTTACTTAGTTGGGGCTAAGGTGATTGTTTACACAGATCATGCAGCTTTGAAGTATTTGTTGTCGAAGAAAGACGCTAAGCCTCGATTAATTCGTTGGATTCTTTTACTGCAAGAGTTTGACTTAGAAATCAGGGATAAGAAGGGTAGTGAAAATGTTGTGGCTGATCATTTGTCCAGGTTGATTGTGCCAATTTCTGCTGAAGATGACTTGCTGCCTTTAAATGAAAGTTTTCCGGATGAACAGCTGTTTGCTGCCCATATCATTTCACCATGGTTTGCTGATTTAGTTAATTATTTGGCTAGAGGGGTACTTCATCCAGATTTTACTTTCCAGCAGAAAAAGAAATTTTTGGCAGAAGCAAAGTATTATTTTGGGATGAACCATATTTATACAAATATTGTTCCGACCAAGTTATTCGCAGGTGTATTCCAGAAGAAGAGCATGAAAGTGTTTTAAAGTTTGCACATCAGTATGCTTGTGGGGGACATTTTGGCCCTAAACGGACAGCAGCTAAAATCTTGCAGAGTGGATTGTTTTGGCCTACTCTCTTCAGGGATGCTAATAGTTGGTGTAGATCTTGTGATCGTTGTCAAAGGGTGGGTAATCAGTCCAAAAGAAACGAAATGCCACAACAAAGTATATTAGTTGTTGAATTGTTTGATGTTTGGGGTATTGATTTCATGGGACCATTCCCAATGTCCCATGGCAATCAGTATATTTTGGTGGCTGTTGAATATGTTTCTAAATGGGTCGAGGCAATTGCAGCACCAACCAATCAAGGATCAGTTGTTCTGAAATTCCTCCAGGGGGTAATTTTTCCACGATTTGGAACACCGCGTGTCATTCTAAGTGATGGGGGTAAGCACTTTGTCAATAGATCGTTTGCTACGTTGCTAGCTAAGTATGGGATCACCCATCGTGTTGCTACTCCTTATCATCCACAAACATCAGGACAGGTTGAAGTTTCAAATAGAGAAATCAAGCGAATTCTTGAAAAAACAGTTAGCTCGACTCGAAAAGACTGGAGTTTGAAATTGAGTGATGCTCTCTGGGCGTACAGAACAGCATTTAAAGGCCCAATTGGGATGTCCCCATTTCGGCTGGTTTATGGTAAGGCTTGTCATTTACCTATGGAGCTAGAGCATAAGGCATTTTGGGCTATTAAAGAGTTGAATTTTTCTTATGATTCTGCTGGAGAAAAACGTAAATTGCAGATTAATGAGCTTGAGGAAATTCGTAATGATGCTTATGAGAGCTCGCGCATTTACAAAGAAAAAACCAAGGCATTTCATGACAATCAGATTCTCAGAAAGAATTTTCATCCAGGGCAAAAAGTTTTGTTATTCAGTTCAAGGTTGAAGTTGTTTCCAGGGAAGTTAAAGTCTCGTTGGAATGGCCCATATTTGGTTACTAAGGTTTATCCTCATGGGGCGGTTGATATTACAAGTGAAATTAATGGCAACACATTCAAAGTGAACGGTCACAGGCTGAAACCATATTTGGAGTCACCCTTCGATATTGCACGCGAGTCACTGACTCTGAAGGAACCAGTGATTTGACCACCAGGCTTCTGCAAAGTCTAGCTACAGACTTAAAATAAAGCGCTCATTGGGAGGCAACCCAATTTTTCTATACTCTTTACTCCTTTTAATTCAAAAAAAAAAAAAAAAAAAAAAAAAAAAAAAAAAAATTTCTTTAACTAGATGTTTTTATTCTCTTTCTACTCATAACACATCATTGATTCAATGCAGGATACAACAATCAGCAGCCAACATCAAAAGCAGACAAATCCTATGCTGGAATCCTGCACCCAGCAGCAAGTCTACACTGGGAAAGACACAACATTCAGCAGCACACATCAAATGCAGAAAAATCCTAGGCTGGAATCCTGCACCCAGCAGCAAGTCTACACAGGGACCGACACAACATTCAGCAGCACACATCAAATGCAGAAAAATCCTAGGCTGGAATCCTGCACCCAGCAGCAAGTCTACCAAATTTCCAACAACACAAATTTGCAGGGATTCGAAATTATACCTATGAGATGCACGGATTGGGGGTCCTCAGGGCTTTGTGCTGTTTTGTCCTTTGAGCTTGTGTGCTGACTGCCGTCTCTTGGATCTGCAACTTTCCTACACTGTGCACATGTCGAAATTATACACACTCATCTATACATCAACCACAGCTCCCAAATCAGGACCCAAAACAAATTCTGGAATTAATCTTACCTTCGAATGGATATTGGATCTTGAAATCATCCTTGCAAGATTAGTGGTCAAGTGGTTCTTGGGTGACTCAATGTTCTTTTTGGACGAAATCCCATTAGACAACGTTCTTCTCCAGCAGCTTTTTGAAGTCACCAATCTCAACTTCAAGCTTGGCCACATGGGATTCCAATTCTTTGACAATTCAAGTGGAGCATCCCATAGCTGGTGTCATTTCCAATTTGGGTTGGGAATCAAACAGATGGCGTAATTTATATTCTAGGGTTCGAAATCATACCTACAAGATGCACCGATCTGGGGTCCTTACTGGTGGAGAATGGACTCTGGTTCGGATTCAACTTGCTTTCATCTTGGAACAGGTTAGCATCTGGTGACATGGATGGAGATATATCTGAAATTGAGGAGTCAAGAAATTCAAAAAAAAACATATAGAGATTCAAGTGCATCAGATAATTCCACCCCACAGAGAGATAAGGCCCTTGCGTTCTTGAGAAAAATGAAGAAGGGCGAGAGCGCAAACCTGCGTTTTCTGAGCGAACTGAAGAAGTGAGAGCGTTGAGATGAATGGGTCTACAACCTCCAGTTTTCTCGCAACCAACAGAGATGCAATTAGATCTGTCCACATGACACCCGCTGCGGCTACACCAATTATGTTGTCGAAATTGCTTGGACTTGACACAAGTCTGCCCTTGTCCGTGTTGGTCAGTGCGCTCGGCAATTCCCAGCTACTGGTCCTGCGTTCGAAACCTCCCAGGTGTGTTCGTTTTCTTGTTTTTTGTTCTTATTGTTTTTATTTCTTTATTTCTTTTTAATTTTTATTTATTTATTTATGTATTTTTCTCTCTTAGGGTATTTTCTTTATTTTTGTTGTCACATCTATTTATTTTCCACACCTTGAGGACAACGTGTGATTTAAGTTTGGGGGTGGGAAAATAAAGAAATTTATATTTTTAATTTGTTGGGTCTTGTTTAAAATTTTCGTTTTTAAGTTCATATCCATAAATTATTTTAAACATTAGAACGAATGGACATGGTGAAAATCAATCCCACAGTAGAGTCTTTTCTGTTTATTGTTGCTTAGACACTAATTCATGAATTATACTTTGAAATTTGCACATCACACCAACATGGTTTTGGGGAGTGAGATTGAAATACTTACTTTTTGTCTAAGTGTGTTTTAATTTTTGTTCTTCATAAAAATAAAGTTAGTATGTGTTATAAAGTAATAATTGCCTCACCCGAAGCTTTGCTAGTAACCGGGCCAGTCCTGCCTAATCAGCAGTGATTCTCGAGACAAACGGTAGAGTTTTGGCATGAGGCAGGGTGGTTAGTTGGTTTCGTAGCCTTTCCAGCTTGAGTTAATAAGTCTTTAGGGGTGTTCTACACCTAGTGCCCTAAAGCCTTAGTGGTTTGGGAGTCATTGACTTAAAGCTCGCTACATGGGGTGGATCGAAAGCTTAAGGGAACCAACATTGCACAACCGCTACTGTTACTGAAAAGAAAAAAAGAAAAAATGTGTGAAGTGTGTGAAGTTTGAATAAAAAGGATGAGAGATAAAGGTTTTAGTCGAGTTTCCTTAACTATGATGGTTCACTTTACACCGAAGGAAGTTTGTGAATTTTTTCTAATTGATTCTAAATAGCTTAGACTCTGTGGTGGGATTAGTTGAATCTATTGAACAGATGTTCTAGTTTTTAAAATTTGCTATGGATTGCAACTTGAAGGTGGAAATTTTGTTCTGGTTAAAGTGATAGCCAAATGTTTAGTTTGTTAAGCTTTTATTTTTGTTTGAGTCTTGTTTTGCTTGAGGACAAGCAAAAAGCTAAGTTTGGGGGTATTTTGATGAGTCGATTTTATATTATATATTTAGCCTCATTCTTAGTATATTTTGGTTAATATTTTGGAAGAATTTTGATACTTTGAATTATATTTCCAATATAGGACTTTCGACTTCCTCTGGAGCAAAACATAATCAAATGGACGAATTTTGGAGTAATTCCAGTTGGAGGACGTTCGTGAGCCACTTAGCTTGATCGTATCAAAATATCAGACTTTTCCACCAAGCGATGATTTCCTGGTGAATAAATGAAGGAGCAGTGCACTGTGCTGGAATAGTGACGTTTTGGGCTTGTATTGCGTTTTTGGAGCCCAAGATGACCTCGGATGGGTTCATGGCCTTCTGGAGAAGTGTTCGGAATATTTTTATCTTTAAAACGAGCTATCTTGGGCCAGATTTGGAGGAGATTTGAGACCAAAACGTGGCTGACCAGATTATTGGCAGATTCTCCTAATCCAATTTGGACTTTATTTCCTAGTCTTATTTTATTTTAACTTAGTTTCCTTGTGGGGATTGGGTAGCTAGGTTTTAGGAGGTATTTAAGCTCCTTTTCACAGCAATTTAGACGACTCCCTTTTTACTTCTTTTTGGCTTTTGGAGCAATTGCTAGGGTTTTGGATTTTCGCGACTTTCAGGTGTTTTCATTCTTATTCTTCTTAATGATATTTTCTTGGATTTCAATTGTGAACATGCGTAACTAACTCTCTTTTGCTAGGGTGAGGCCACGAGCCTTAGCAAGAATATGTAGTTTCTGTCCAATTTGCTTATGATTATATGCATGCAGGTTTTCGAATTATTCATCACTGGGTTAAACTATCTAAGTGTCTTGATGCTTGATCACCATTAGGATGTTTAGAAAAGTAATTTGATGCAGTTTTGGTCGGAGGTCGGTCCCTGAAATTGACGAAGGCTTCTTGTGATTAATATGTGCAAGTTCACTTATGATGAATACCACGTCTTAAGGGTTGCATGGTTTTTCAAAAGGTTTCACAGAACTTAATGAGTCATGTATGTTTAGATTTGATCTGAATACCACAGACGGATTGCATGTGTGATATACGCTCTATGTTGGGGGTCCAAGTAGGCATATATTAGGAATACCTAACCTTCGAAATATGCATGTATAGGTCATAAGTAATTGGGGGAACTATATAGAATTGTTAAGGTGACGGCGGATCCCTAGTGCTTTATTAATTTGATTTCTAAAAACACAACTTCTTCTCTTGCTCTTAGCTTTAATTTTGCATATTGCCTTATTTTTATTAGTTAAATTCCTTTTAATTTAAGGTCTTCAAATCAAACATCTCAACTTTCTCTTTTGCAATAATTAATTAGAATTTGGTTGCTACGAGTTATTTAATAATCCCTGCGGAGAACGACCTTGCTTGAATCATTTATACTACAATAACCTTGTCATTCTTGCAAGTTTTGTAGGAGTTTTAACCCTGTTTGCGCAGGTACTAAAAAGCCTATCACTTATCTTTATTTGGCATGGTTATATGAAGAATTACAAATTGAAGGATAGATCTCAAACTATGAATTACTGAAATTTCTTTATGTAAACATTCATATGACATAAATGGAAGTGTTGTTTAGATACCCTTAATTAAAACTCTCTGGTTTGCAAAAACTGGGCAAAGATGGGGAAGTTTGTGGAAGTCAGAAAAGTACAAAAACCTTTGTCAGTTATTCGATGTACTATTAGCGGAATATGATGATGCCCTGAATGAAGTCACAGCTACCTTCGTTAGGAAAAGATGCTTAGGAAATCCAACATCAACTAAATAAAAGGCACTCAAGTGAATCAACAATCAAAAGACTGTAAATAGAGATGTATATGAGAAAGGTAAAGCAGGAATCAGACCAACATTTGAAGTATATCTCCCTAAAGTTGAGATAGGAAAGGTTCGACTAAGATTTGCGCCTAAACCTAGTGGCTTTCTTCATGTTAAGCACTCAAAAGTAGCTTTGTTGAATTTGTATTTTTCTCAAAGGTATAAGGGTCAACTTATTGTGCAATTTGCTGATACAAATCTTGCTAAAGAGAGCAATGAGTTTGTGGACAATCTATAGACTTCGGATATCAAATATGAAATGGTTACCTATATTTCATATTTGTATTTTTCTCAAAGGTATAAGGGTCAACTTATTGTGCAATTTGCTGATACAAATCTTGCTAAAGAGAGCAATGAGTTTGTGGACAATCTTTAGACTTTGGATATCAAATATGAAATGGTTACCTATACTTCAGATTACTTCCCTCAGTTGATGGGAATGGCTAAGAATTTGATTCAGCAAGGTAAAGCATATGTTGATGATACACCACGTAAGGAGATGCAGAAGGAAATGATGGATGTCATTGAATCAAAATGTAGAAACAACAATGTAGAGGAGAATCCAAAAATATGAAAGGAAATTATTGCTGATTATGATAGAAGTCTGCAATGTTGTGTCCATGGGAAGCTAGGTATGTAGGATCCAAACAAATCTCTTCAGGACGTAGTTTATCATCATTGCAATCCAATTCCTCATCATGGGAAGAGGATATGGGACTGCGAAAAGTGCATATATATGAATTTAGTTGGTTGAACATGGTTTATACACTTCTTAGTAAGCGCACGCTTTTGTGGTTCGTTGAAAATGAGAAGGTTAATGGATGGGATAATCCTCGTTTTCCAAATATTCAAGGAATTGTGCTTAAAGGTATTAAATTTGAAGCTTTAATACAATTCATTCTTGGGCAGGTAAGACACTAATCTGTTTTAGCTACGATGCACAAAAGCAGTTATGATCAATGCCTAATAACATATAATGCCTTCTTGCTACTTGTTATGTCCTCACTGTTAGCGGAACAATAGGAAATATGAATTTAAAGATAATAAATAAGATGATAATTGATCCAGTATGTCCAAGACAACCTGCGATCGTTGAACAGCGTGGAGTGTTGTTGACGCTAATTAATGGCCCTGAGAAACCTTTTGACCTCATCATTCCAAGACAATGTTTTAAATCGTGATCACATATCACATCACAAATTATGTAAGTTATTGGGTCACGTAAGCATCAACACGTTGCCATGTACGCTTTTCGGGAATATAAATATTATAGTTATATACAATAAAAACTCATATTGTAACTCTTTATAAGTAATTAAAAAAATATTAACATTTAATGGACATGGGCGAAGGGCAAAAATGGTTTTGTTATATGGCCCATAAGTATGGACGAAAGAGTTTTGTCGTGCTTTACTGGCCCATATTAAGGCAGAACCAAAACTCTATGTCATCTTCTTTGTGAGTCTTCTTCCTTGTCCTCTTCACAGTGTCACCTCGTCGTCTGCATCTCGAAGATTGTCCACATGATAGCGTTCGCTATATAGGCTCATCGCCATGGTTGGCAGCTATGTAGAAATTCAGGATCGTGACACAACATGGCTTGCAATATAGCTTGTGATGCAAGCACTATTTAAAACATTGCTTTTGGCCACAAGAAATACAAAGGTACTGGAGAGAAGGAGACAATGTATACAAAGACGATATGGCTAGAGTTTGCTGATGCATAGCTCATCAAGGTAGATGAGGAAGTGACTTTGACGGATTAGGGGAATGCCATTGTCAAAGGGATTGATAAGACCCAGATGGAAACCTCAAACTCATAGAGTTTTTGAATCTTAAGGGATCCGTCAATATGATGAAATTGAAACTTACATGGGTACCCCAAACTCATGAACTAGTTAAGTTGTGTTTGATGGAGTTTGATTACCTAGTTGTTTAAAACTATTTTAACCCCAAAAATCATTGTTTATGCCTTGCCCTTCTTTGTTTGCTTATTTAGTTTTATGTTATTTTCATTTCATGCACTCAACTCAAACCTCTCAAAACATTTTAAAATCTTGTTTTAAAATTATGTTTGCTTTAGCTATAACTCATTGTTTTTGAATTGGGTAATCAAAGTTCATAACTACTTTGAACTTCTCAATCCTCGTAGGAACAACCTCGCACGTGCTATATTATTTAATTGGCTCATGCACTTGCGAGTTATCATTCCACTCAACGACTGTATAATAATCATATTTTAGCTTAATGTATGAATCTAAAATTTATTGGAAGTGATTAATCTGTAGATTATAGAATACCTTGGATTTTCTTTTCATAAGGATGAAAAAGGAACTTGTGGGAGTGGAGTTAGCAAAATATCTTGACTAATAACTAGATCAACTATGAGTCATGTAAATGTGGTAGTTGTAAAGTGGTTTGTT